TTTCTGAAAATATCCTGCAGAAGGATTTGTACTACATAAATGCAGTCTTTAACCTACCTGTAACTTGGGTCTTAGGAGTAGCATTGTAAGGCAGACCTTCACTTTTTCTCCCAGAAGGCATGGTTACTTTAACACATGAAATCTTTGTCTATCAAAAAACCCAAGTATAATAAAAATGATCAAGACAGAATAACGTCTTTGTCTAAAAGGTTTCCCATTGACCACTTGTGGATTAAAGTAGCATGCATTAACACAGTCACACCCTGAGATTCACCCAGCACTGAAAATGTGCCCACATGCACTCCAGCCGTTGACAAATGACTGTATAGGTCAATATGCTTGTTTTAGTATCTCTTTTCTACTGCTGATTCTTTCTGATTACCTTTTGTCCAATACAGTGACTTTTGAGCTTCTCCCTTTGGAGGGTCTGAATGACAGAGTTTATTATAAAAGGCTCTCTGTTACCTTTCTCATATTATTAATGGATATTTTTATGATTAATTGACCTAAGACAAACCAGCACAGAATCCCTTCTTTGTATGACAGTGAAGTGTTGATCGCTACTCTCTAAGAATAGTTTTGCAGTCAGCTGAGCATCCACACTGTTATCATTTCATCCAGCCCACATCTACTGTATTTTATATTCTCTAATCTCAATATGATGGACTTTTTCATATAATATGTATAAAAAACTGTGAAATTCACTGCTTTAAGATGCTGTGGGTTCTAAAAACATACAAAAGTGGAAAAGTAACTGGACAAATTCAAAGAAAAAATTCTATCCAGGCTATTATAGGCCCAGATATTACCTTTTAATTCTGATACTCCTTGAGTGACAGCTTGTCATGGTGAGGGGAGCAAAGGGGGAAAATGTCATGTTTGCCCCATTCTCACACTCTTCTCTACTTTCAGCCTATTGGGGATTATGGGTAAGTGAAGATTGATTCTGACTCAATGTGAACAATGACACATGGGACTGCATTAAAAGTCTTACTAAAATCAGATTATAGTAAAACTCTCTGAGAACCCTCAAGATTAAAGTATTTGTCTCCCCATTTTTTCCACTTGCTATGACTGGCTGTCATTGAAATGTATTTCTTCCTGTTCTGACCCCAACGGAGCCACAGACTTTCAGCGGAAATCTCTAGGATTACCCTTTGGATACCATAGAAGAAATATGTTAGGCATGAGAAAATCCACTGAAATGTCTGGACTACCTTTGTTTTAAGATGTGCCATGCCCTAAGCAGGGAATCCCATCTTGTATGTTAAGATTAAAAGAAACACAGTACAAGACTAAGAGCCCTTCCTCATGACATCCCAAAGCAGAATAACATCATCTCACCTAAGAAAGCTGGCTTCCTTGACTTCTGTGTGATACTACAAAAGATTTCCTATATTCTGTTATGGTCTACTACTGAATTATATTTTAACTCATTCCAGGCTTCACATGGCTTGTCTCTGTCACAGGCTTGAGTAACACCTTGATGCATCACCTTATGGGAAATGCTTAAGGCATAATCTTCTCAATATACTCATAGCTAGTCTCTTTCTGTGAACATTATATAAAGCCCAAATGTGGCACTGCAGATGGCAAAATTGGACGTGGGATGCTTAATTTGAATAACACTCTCTTTTATTCTATGCTGGTCTCATGGAGGAGGGGAGGAATCTTTTCACATGTTTACTTCTGTCTCCCTTTCCATTCAGCCTGTTGCCTTGTCAAAGAAAGATACTGGCACATTATTCTTTCTGTCCACTAAGAGTAAGACAACAACTAAATTAAATTAACCTCAATTACCAAAAATTACGAAAAAGTCATAGTAACCAATCCTACTAAAGAATAACTAAATTTGTGAAGTCCCCTTACTGTGGAATTTAAAGAACAGACTTCTAATAAACACATATTTGGCAGAGAATTACTTAGGTATATTCCACCCTGCTTCAAAGCACAGCATCAGGTTACATAACTTACTGCTGGAACACATCTATGAGCAGGATATCTATTCAGCATTTCATTCCAGAAGACACCAAACTTCTTCAGAAGCAAAGTGAAATGAATAGGCTCTTTCACTAAAAAGCAGTTTGTCTAGTTAGTCCTTCAAACTGAATCTGTGTTCAGTACAATGAATGAAGAAGTCTACAATTAACTGAAAAATATACACAAAGTTTCTATTGTCTCCCCAGAGAGAAGCCAGGGCACCAAATACACAATGCTACAACACAGGTATTTCATGAAATAAGGTAGGAAGTGATGGTGCAAGCAGGAGTTGCAACATATTATATGAATAAAAGGAAGACAATGATGCACATGTTTCATTTTACAATGTCTTGTTTGTGTGGCTTTTGTTCAAGGGGAAGAGGTATGGAGTTGAAGAGGTACGGAGCTGTAGGTAAAGCATGATACTAGCAGGCATATCAAGTGATCTAAGGCAATACATAGCTATAAAAATGATGGAATGTTATCTGCCTTTCCTCGAGGACCACATCAACATTATTACTATTATGCTGATGCTCCCAGGAGGGACGTTCAAGGGAGACTTTCAAATTTTTCCAGTTTGAATGATACTTTATCTCCTAAATATTATTCTGCTTCTTTATGAAATATATCTATTTCAGTTTTTTCTTTTAGCATTCATATGGGGCTCATCAATGGAGCTCGTCAACATCTAAGTATTCTTACTGAGGCTCAGAGTTTCATGACCACCTAACATGCATGATGGTACATGATTTCATTGTGGACCTCTCCAATAGCTATTTCATTTACAAGAACAAAGACTCTACTTCTATTACTAATAGGAGTACCTACTGAAATCCTGGAATTTACTGTTAATAAAATCTAGTTTCTGCTAGCAAGCACAATATATAAAAAAAACCTATGAAAATTAAGTTCTCCCCTTGCTTTCTCCTGCTTCTTCCCTTCTTCTCTTTGAGCAGTACATAAGACATATGCACCTGACTTAATGCTGTTAAATAGATTTTGTAAAAAAAAAAAAAAAAAAAAGCAGCTGAGAGGTTGGGAGTGGGAAGAAATCTCCCATCCTTAGTTCTATTCATGAAAAAAAATCAGAGGAATTTACCTGTAGAAATGAGAAGCTGCAAACCCTTCAATTGAAAAGCCAAATTCATGTTGTTGTTCCTTTAAACAGCAGCAATGAAACATATATAAACATTACTGAAATAAAATTCAGGCTACAAAGCAGCATTCCTCTTAAACTGAAAGAGCAAATTTGAAGGGAGCAGAGATAGCAACACATCAGCATTTCCAGAGGCACAGCAAGTAGCTTAAACAGGAAAACTATTACAAACACTCCTCCTGGGCATAAAAAAAAAGATACCATGCATACCAGGAACCAAAGCAGACACAAGACATATCCACCTCATTATGTATGAAAAGTGTGCTCTGAATAAGCCCCCCAAACTGGTAGCAAACAAGGAACTGAAAAGGTGACAAACCCTATTTATAGAATGGCTTTAATATCAGGAACTCATCTCCATGTAATCTTCATCTGTTTCTACAAAAAGAGGTGTATTCTTCACTTAAATCACTGTCAGAATTTATTATTTTTACATGTATCTTAAACAAAGAGGCACTTCTGCAGTATCACAAAGAAGAAATTGTAAGAGGTTGGGATTTCTATACTTCACTATTACCACCTATTAAAAAGAATGTTACTTTAATAAAAAAAGAAGAAGAAGAAAAAAAAGATGGTTTACCCAAAAATAGATTTGTGGAAATTCACAAAGATTAGAAGATGATCTTTGTGACCTTTGAGAGTCCTTATGTCCTAGACTGTAAGAAAATATACTTGATAGCTGGATTTAGTTTAATATTTAATAGGTCATAAGCAGTTGCTCTGTCACTGGAAAGGATTTTTTTCCCCAAACCATTCTTCTGACATTTAAAAATGCTTGTCTGGTGTGTCCAGTATTGTGTAAATACAGTTAGCATAGAATATATAATATAAAGGAAATATATATATATTACAATATAAATAATAAATAATAGATAATATAAAGGAAAAATTCTAACAAAGAAAGGAATATTTGCTTGTTTGCAACTTTCCATTCCAAAGACCTTTCCCACTGTTTCTTATTTACTGCAATGCAAACAGAAATGTATTTAATTTAGTGATTAATCATGTATTCATCTACTAACTCTTTCCAGTTTAGTTTGCTCATTTAGTGCATATTTTTTTTCCTAGTGAACTTTTCCATTTTGAAATAGGAAACAAAAAATGTGCACAGGTATTTTTTCTATTAATGTTTTCCTCTACATTCAGTGCATAGCAAAGGTACACGACCTACTCAAGCGATCATGTGTAATGAAAGGATGCCTGCTTGCCCTCAGTGAATGAGATACCAGAATTTAACACAACATGAGACAACCTTGTTCTAGCATGATGGCTTACTTTTCCACCAAGATGGATTAACAAACATTTGCTCCCATATTTTTAAATGGCTGGAGAATTCTCTTCACTGTTTGCAAGCTGCTATAGAAAACGTGTCATTAAAACACGCCCCGTAAGACATATGGCTGTTTCTGAGACCCACACTGAACACACCTAAGTGTACTACGCCTAAGCTTTCTCCAGCAATATTCCCTGCTCCACAGCAGGCACGTGAGAAGACTCTGAGATGTGAATAAACTGCTACCAGGTAAAGTCATTCTACCACGTAAAAACATTTATGAGTTATCACTTAATATACTTCAGGCCTTGCTGTTCCTGCTTTCTTCCTCTTCACTCATACAAAGCACCTCAGGATATATCAACTTTTTATGCTCCTTTTATGCAACTAAAACTAGAGAGCATCTTCTTAAAGAAAAAAAAATCCCAAGCCACAAAACTCGGTTTAGGATTAAACCTAGAAACAGTATGTTCAAATGCTTTATCAACAGTTACACCTAATTATCAGTATACTGTTCTGCTTATATTTTAAACTGTGTATGGAAATAAAATCAGTAATTTAAATATCAAGCAAGTTAATGGATTTACTTACAGAAAAAACAGCAGCCACAGTCTCAACAGCACCAGTACTTAGAGTAACATAGGGGATTGTTTCATGGTTGATCCCAGCTTCACTGAAGATGTTGTTTGTGTAGTACCAGATCTGTATCAGAGACAAGGAAATGAGTTATTAATCATTATGGCTTGAACTACAATATATTGTTATTCAGTTCAAGCACCTGATCTGACAGAGACCAGACTTGTTAAAACACTGAGCGCTCCAAATGACCAAGGGCCAGGCAAGGCAACAAATGAAGGGAAGGTGCAAATTTCAGGTATATTAGTCACTACACTGCTGTACTTCTGCTTGCAGACCCGGGCAGAATTACAAGCAGCTTTAACTTAATTTAGCTTAATTCATTTTAGGAGTAAATCAAAGAAACTCACTTTAAGCTTGAACGGTAGGATACAAATAGGTTTTGTGTGGCTGAGCCACACTGCCTAAGAAGCAGGTTTGGGTGGCTTTATGGAATACTTCAATGGCACATAACAACAGAGGAGAGAGCAGGAAAGAAATGCTGAGAGGCATTGCAGAAACCGCTCCTTTTCAGACAGAAGGTATGAGATTTATCTCACTTCAACCTCACTGCTGTGTGGACATCTGCAGTCAAGCCATCACCCAAATCTCTCTTTATTATCAACAGAAAGAAAAGACATTTTAGAGTGAGAGTTGCTTGGTGAAAAGTAAAAAGCTGCTTTTAGGATTAAATGAATCATAGGCTAGAAGGAACGATCACTAATGGACAGAAACATAGGGAGCACGGGACTACTAGATTAGAGGAAGTCATTCATGTTTGGTCAGTAAAACCATATCCAGTGGTAACAATATCCAGACAGAGAGTATATAGTGGTAATACTCTAAAATAACAAGTCTGAGAAGTATCAGAGCCCTATTCGCATCACAAATGAAGTCTGAAAACCATACAGTATTTATGTTGGACTCCAGGTGACAACAAAGAACCAGCCAAAGATTTTGGCTGCCAAAAGCATGTAACAGGAAGAAACTGCCTTGGAGAGAGAAAATATAATTTATTTACTAGAGAAGATGAAAAAGCAATTGAAACAACTGATTATTGGAAGAAAATGAAATTCTAAACCACAGCTGATTACCTGTGACAACACAACTGAAAGCCAGAGATAACGATGCCACTTAACATAAAAGTAGCAGTGGTACTTTTTCCCATATGCTGTCCATGTGACAAGCCCTAACAGGGCAAGCACTGCTCAAGAAAAGGCTTGTCTAATGAATGGAAGTGTTTTGATTGAATGTGGAAAACCCTGCTGCCTGCCAGCATATGATGCATATGCTACATCTATTCATCAAGCTACTAACTCAGGAGCTTTGTTAAAAAAAAAAAATAAAAATTCTGAATTTCCAACTAGCCCTTCAGCAAAGCTGCTTGTCCCAGGTGAAAGAAGAAAATCCAAATTGTCTTACATAAACCAAAAGTAAAATAAAATACCAAAAAGTCACCTATATCACCTTACAGATAAAGACAAGCTGACTGAAGACTTTTATGCCTGCTGCTGGCACATCAGCTCTCACCAGAATAGATGCCGTGGCAACAAGCGATAGCAGCAAACTTCTCTATATGAAGTAATCTGCCTTCATGTAGCTTACACTGACGTTAACTGTGCATTTCATTGGCCTGCTGATACAGAACACAGATTGAAGCAAAACCAAGAATCAGCTCACAATTCCCTCTGAAATGTTTATGCCCATAGATAAATTTTCTGGGACCCAGTTCTCTGACAACCTATTCACCTCCCAAACCATGATAAAAGTAGTTTTTTTCTCCATACTACCTCCATAAAATTGAATAATTCATGCAAGAGAAGTTTGAAAACATGTAATTTAGGCATTCAATTCCTGGTATCAGTTTTGCATAGCAGGTAGAGCTTCTAAAAATGATGGTGATATTGCAGGTATGCAGACCTTGAAGAGGCCAAAGAGTCACTTAAGCAGACAACTCCTGAATGAAATTTGCCAAAATGTAACAACTAGAACAAGATATTTTGCAAGTGGTTTTACAGGAGAGCAAGACTGCCCATTGATGGTAAGAGTGGTAGTAACACAGCTAGATGAAAAAAATGACAGATCAAAGACAGGATGAGGTTCACTGACTTAGTCTCTGCAGCAGCACAAAAATTAATTAGAGTAAAAATTAACAAGATGTACACATTTCAAAACAAAAAAAGCGAATGTTTTTCAGCCTGTGTCTCATTAAACAGGGAAATACATTGCTCTAGGATGTTAATGAGACAAACTTACTAGGCTAATGATGACTACTTTCACTTAAGTTATTTTTCTAAACGGGTTTGGCTAGCTAGTGATTTCATTAGCTAGCAAAATTAGCTAATGATTGGGCTAAACGTTTTGGAATGAAAGAGCTGTGGAAAATGTGGCAGAAGGTCCAAAAACCCAGAACAACTACTGTTGAGTCCAAATCAACACAGGGACATCTGAATTCCTACATCCATGGCAGGTTGCTGTTGCTTCACAGGCTGAAGTAAAACTTTATGCTACTTACATACAATCTTTCCTAAGAAATTCAACTCTTCAAAAGGAAAAGAAAGCAACAAAAGTGAAAAAAAAAAGGGCAACAACACAGACATACACTCTGTTGCACACTGCATACTCACCCCTCCCTACACTATCTGATGCCAGGCCTTCTCCATACCAAGTGTGAAGAGCACACCATGGTAGATCTTTTGCATACTGAAAACATGCATTGCTGCACGGACTCCCATCCCCAGAATGATTTCTTGCCGTTTGAAATACAGTCCTCTGCCTTAAGGACAGACTCCACAGAAACCTAAGGATCCCACTTCGGGAATGACTCTCTTAAACCAATATGCAGTACAGTGTATTTCGTTATATGAAAAAGGGTAAAGTTCACCAATGAGAACTTCACTGTAGTTTTGTGTCTTCTTTAGAACTGAAATACAATGGTGGAAGACAAATTTATTATGGATGATATGCATCATGGATAAATTTTATCAGATGAAAAGAGACTAATATAGATTAATTTATTTATGTCAATTTAGGTCAAAGTGTCTGGTATTTCATTATAACTTAATATATTAACACGATCAGGGCTTCATCATGATTTCTGTTCTGTGTGGAAACCAACAAATGTACTGCTTTTAAGCAAAACAAATTTCTATTGTAAAGTAAAAGCCTTAAAAGAAAGCAAATGTTCTCAGATACCAGCAGGATGATTACAGAAGTCTGCCAGTTGGTAATTTCCCTGGAGAGTGACCTGAGACTCTCACCTGAAAGAAGTCCAACTTTCCCATATGTCCTGCCCAGATGGCAGTTGTGGAAAAGACCATGACTGACTAACAGGCCACTATAGACAGAGCACATCATGGGAGCTATGAGTTAGAAGGAAGTGTTCACAGCCCATTAAACCTTGCTGACCTGGCTCATGCCCAGCAGGTTAGCTCAGATGCAGTCAGGCAAACAAAGACCCAGGTTCAGCAGTATCTGTCACACCTGTACCTGTCCTCTAATCTCTGAGCTTCAGGCAAGATCAATCAGGAAAGCAATGCAAAAGAGACAAGGAATGAAACCTGGTCTCTTAATCAAGTGGTCCAGCTATTTCACTTGACCTCTCTTATAATTTGCTTGTTTTTACTATTAATTGTTTAAATCATGTTTAGTAGTATTGCATGGGAAGAGAAACAAAGTAATAATAATAAAAAGGTAAGGCTTGAGACAGCCAACTTGACGCACAGGCTTCCTGACAAAGACATTTTTTCTGAGGCGTATCTTCAGAAAGTGGACAACCACTGGCACTTTAAAACAACTCTGGCATCCATTTTGAACTGGACATATCTCACTATCCCCCTACGCCCACACGTCCCCACTCAAGCTATGAAAGTGTGGCTTTGTTCTGTCATGGAATACTAGACAATTTCTATCATCTATTAAATATCCTCAAAGCCATAAAACTCTTCTGTTTTCCCTGAAAATTTAGCCATGGCTTTTTTTTTTTTTTTAGGCAATCTGCTTCATTATTGAATAGTATATTTCTTACTATAATTTTATTTCACTTATGCATTGATAAATCTTAGAAAGACTGGACGACAAGATAATTCCATTTCTTTTCTTAAAAAAGTATCCACAATGAGGAAGAAAATAGCCTGTCATTAGCACTGAAATTCTACAATTAGAAGAAAACACCACCTATACAAACGCTTTTAGAGTTCACCCCACAGTTTGAAGAAAACTTACAGTTCCCTCCTAGTATTTTGTTAAAAACTTTTAGATATCAGAGTTCTAATTTCATTAATCTTGCAAATGGTCTTGGACAAATTACTTTATATTAGGAGCTTTAAAGTTATAGAGATACCTAAAGTAAGCTTGAACTAGTTGTCTTAGATATCAGAAGCATTTACACTTATTATCTATCACCGATTAACCCCAGGAGGGGGAAAACTAGCTGAAGTATGCTGCAATGCACAAAGCCACAGTGAGAGCTCCTTTAAGTGGTGATAATATTGCCTTTCATATATATAAGCAATTAACATCTTTGAACTATGACAAAAACTCCTTTGGCTTTCATGTGCTTCATGAGAACATTCATGTTGTGCAATGTAAAGCATCTGAGCCAGATGTCACAAGCTGTGGCAAGGAAGGGTCTGACCGGATATAGAAGTAAAACGCTTTTCACAATATAAGTGGTGAAAATACCTGGCACAGGTTGCCCAGGGAGGTTCTGGACTCTTCACATTTGGACATACTTAACTGCACAAAGCCCTTGGTACTCTGAGCCAACCCTGAAGCCAGTTCTGATCTGGGCAGGGGCTGGGACCAGATGACCTCCAAAGATCCCTTCCAACCTGAATTGTCCTGTGCCCCTCTCCTAGCTGATGCTATGGGCTCAGACAGATGAAAAAGGAGACTTATATATCCATCAGCCTCAGACACATTAATGGTCAACAGGACCTCTTGTTGTCGGCTGTTTTGCGTCTTTTTTCCTCATTTGCTCCAGTCTCCAAGAAAGGCATACTGAAGCACAGCTTGTTCTTCAAATTGTATGAAACAACAACAAAAATCAAACGTCCAGTGCAACCTCCTAAAATCACTTACAGGAACTTTTGCTGACTTCGATATGTACAGAACAGAATTAATCCAAGCAGAAACATCAACTGAAGAGACTGAGTTTACCTAACATGAACAAACATAGGGCACATCAGACCAGATCTTAACTGAACAGAAACAGACATTCTGAGTACCAGAAGCACAATCTGCACACCTTCTTTGCTGATCTGTGCTACCTTTTCATGTATCCCTTCAAAGTTAACACAACATGGCTTTCCTCCTTTTTTTTTGGTTTAAAAAAAAAACCCAAATGATACAGCTCTCCATGCACCTTCCCACATACTGATGTAACAAAATCATTACTAATAAGAAACAGTCAAAAATTAAGGTCATAAATGTTGCTGAATGGTATAGCATAAACCTTGTATTAAAAAGAAAGAAAGGAGCACCCCAGGAGATGCCATGGCCTGAAGAAGGACACTTACAGCATTTAGCCCACAGAGCTGGTAGCAGCCCATCGTGATGACCACGGTAATGACCTGCCATCGCACAGCACGGGTTCTCAGGAGCTGAAGTATCGACACTAACTTGGTGTTTCTTTGGACTCGAGACTCTGCCAAAACTTCTTCTACTTCATGAGACACGTCGTCTTTCCCAAGGAAAGTCTGAAATGCTACAAAGAGAGGACGTGTACTTTAGGCCAGACACTTGGTACTATATGCATTTGTAACAGACTTATTTCACAGCAATAGAAATGCGTGACACAAATAGGAGATATACATGGGCTAAAACTTAATTATTCTTCTGCCAACAATATCATTCTGCTCTGGATATTATCTGGCTCATCCCTGCAATTGGTCTCAGAAACTACAACAAGAATAGAAATTATCTGGCACCCTACCAGATCTCTCCTTATATTATTTCATATGTGATATAGCCTAAGGTTCAGCACAGAGTCAAAACCTTGTGTAATCTGAAAAAGGGTTTAATAGCAAAGCAGTTCTGAATGTTATTTGACTTGGCTACTTTTGCAGCCTAACAATATAGCAGATGTCGTTGCTGGAGATAGGTTGGATAGAGAAGTAATAGGATGTAAAAATATCTAAATCTGGTAAACCAAAAAATGGCAGACATTCAAAAGGAATACCTATTACTCTTGTTTTTACTAGCATATAGACAAAATTCACTTTGTCAAGATGAATAATATTAGAAAGAATTACCCATAGCAGTCCAAGACTTTCTATGTCAATGCTGGAGACATGGGAGTGAATTTACCTGACCAATGTACGCAAACAAACCACCTTGTCTCCCCAGAAAAAACATACCATTTAGTATTATATTATTGCACACTGATGTCTTACTGAGATATCCCTCCACTGTGAATAATAATAGTTTTCCATCTCACACCTCCTCCAAGAGGTACGACAACCAGATACCTCCTAATGGATGCAGTGTATCTCCACCAACCCTGTTTTACAGGTACTGTATATGCTGATGATACTTTTGTCACAATCACATGAACATACCCCAGGGGTTGGATTTATAAGAGATGTTTAAAATGCTCATCATCTTAGAATGACTGCAGAGAAACAATTATATTACACGTACCCCTGCCATAAGGCTTTGCGACACAGTAGGGTGCTAACTCTAAAAACAATGCTTTACACAGCAGGTCACTGTTATTTTTAAGTGAATAAGTTGATTTAGTTCTCCTAAGAGCCAAATCAATTTTTCTCTTATCCACAGCTTTGCACAGTACTGCCTATAAATAAATGACCTTCGCATTTTTCAGTAAATATACATTCCTTTGGATAACAGAAAGGACCTGGATAGTGAAGAACACTGACTAGTCATGGTTAAAATGCCTGGACTCCATTGAGGTTTTGAATTTACAAAATTTAAACTTTAACCAGTAGGTGAAAAGGCCAAGTAGTGGCATTTCAGTGCTGTGAGGGATAGATCACACAAATGAACCAGTGGCCTGCCCAGAGCAGCCCTCTCCGTCCCTTTGGCGAATGCTGAACACAGCACACTCTGCCTGACTCTCAGTCTGGCAGTGCGGGGAACTAACTCAAGCTCTGAGCCAAGATTTTCAGAGGCAGTTAGCACTTCCACTGCATTTTAATGGGCCCTACGTGACTCTCCTTAACAAGACGGATGATTTTTTTAAGGGATGAACACTGACCACCTCTGGGTGTTGAGTCAATTCATAACATTCATTTATTCTGATATCTAGTGCCTCTCTTGGGAGATAAGAGGTTAGAATTTTTAAATCCCTCAGAAACAGCATGAAAATTATCTTTTCACACATGCCTTACAGTCAGAAATTAGTTAACAGATTTGGACCTCAGAACCCAGAATTTAAGCTGCTGAATTTTGTCCTTGTGCCACTGCCCATTTATTAAACATCATGCTAAACACTCATTAAAATTAGGGTGATGTATTCAAAGACACTGATAAGAAATGTAAAATTAGAATGTGTGCCTATGGAATGTTAATCTCACACTTAAAATACACTTTCCTCAGTATTAATAGAACACTGATAAAGAAAAATTCAGATAAAGATGAGAACAACCAGACATACATTGCCATACTTGCCTTTAAAAAGATTCTCTCAGATTTTTAAGCATCTGGTTTATCAGTGTAAATTAGGTCAGTGCACAATTTTCTTTATTCTTCCTGCCCTTAGAATCCTCAGCATTACTGTAGGGCACACAAGCCAAAAATATAGGTGCAGTCAAGTAAAAAGAAACCAATCTGTCTTTTCTGCACAAGAGAGCTTGCTGTATTTCTAGAGGGACCAGGAAGTAAAAAAACTTGAAATTACCAAAATTACCAAGTACAAGGCGAGAAAAATATAGACACCTGCTTTATGTTTCTTCCCTCCCTGGTTAGGACCACAGATGTAAATGCCACTAGGAAACTTTGACAGATACTTAAAATTACCACCAAGTCAAGAAATGCTAAGCTATACATGCATAGTTTTGAGTAGACAACACTCAGTCTTCTTGGAAAAACACATTTTCCTGCTACTCAACACATCTTCAATTTTCTTCCATTAACCATTTTTCAGTACAGTAAGAATCATAATTTTATACGTAATTAACGTAGAAGTAAATTCTGTATTAGCAGAGAGATGGAAAAACTCTGAGGTCTTCCAGTGTGTGATGTTCCAAAAATATACATTTTACATTTTATACCCCTGCATTATTGGCTTTGAGAAACACAGCAATTGTTCCTCTCCCCACTGCTATGACTTATTTCCCTCTGTGACTGGCTGCTTCTCTCTCTAGCAACTTTTAGACCCCTCCCAGATTTACTTTTAATTTCTTTGGATCAGAAGGTCCTAAATGCTCAGCTTTCAAGTGTCAGGACACTGCCTTTATAATTAGCAAAAGAAGTGCACGGTTCCAGTCAAGGGGAAAGGAGCTAGGAAACCCTTCCATTTACACCACCAGCTTTTATTCACCTCAGCTAAGTGAAGGTGGAACATTTGCAAGTGGTTCAAAGGTCTGAATGAAATCAGTTGGTACTGTCTTTAAAACCGATCAGGCCTTTAAATTAACTGAAGGACACTTGAGAGCTCAATTACATGAGGAATTATAAATTCTTTTTCCACTTAAGTACTTCCAGGACTGTGCTAAGAAAGCTGTTGTTATCATAAAGACTGAATAGGCACATAAATTTTGAGAAGACATCTTAAAGGATCAAAATGCTGTTGTGTGGTTTACACAATAGAGCCAGCCCCGTGCAAGTGCAGGCAGAAAAAGAGAGAAGTGGTCACAAGTAGAAGTTCAGGCTTATGCCTTTAAGAACTAAAAAAAATACCAAATAAGCTGCATGAGTATTACTGGCATCTGTTTCTCACTTTCACTTCACTGATTATTAAGTATATTAAAATCAGTGCCTTTAACACAAAGTTTTGTCTAAGCTCTGCTTAAACAGCATCTTCTCCAGCCACTGTGGGAGACAGAATACTGGGCTGGACGGACCCAGTCAGGCATCTCCTGTTAATGCTGGCTGCTGTTCTGAGCGGCGGTAGGCATATGGGGTGCCTCACTGTTTGCCTCTGCACTTGCAAAAAGTTCACCCAACTTCAGTGCTTTTGGGTATGTAGTAATTCCCCTATAGTAACTTAATGTCAACAAAAATATTTGGCAAAATGAAAAAACAGTTATTTTCATATACCACTGATTTTATTAAAGTACTGAATAGCCAGAAGAATAATTTAGATGTAGCTTACTAGAAGAAATTTAAATAGCTATTTAAATCTAGCAAAATATTAAATAACTACCAGCATATAGCACAGCAAAGTTTAAGAATAAATCTAAAATTTGCTATTCCAATTCATTAAATATAACTGCAAGCAAAAGGCTATAGGCTTTTCCCACGAGTCACCTCCTTCTTCTTCTACGTAAGGGAACACGCAGATCTTCTGTGAGTTATCATTCAGTTTGGGATTACATCTTTACCTGTTCTTATGTCTGGTTTCACAGACCATCAATAGACCATCAAAAAAAATAGGCCTGTTCAGGTTCACTTGAAACTAGTAAAGATGCACAGGTAAAACAAAATATCCACATGGCACCCCAAAATAACACAAGAATTGCTAAAGCAAGTTGTATCAAAGGTCTGGTGAACCCAGTATCCTTTGTGAAAGACAGAAGGTTTACGAAAAGTTTAAAAATAAAACAGACACAACATGATTACTCTAGCTTTTGTCAGTCAGAAACCATCTGAGATGAAGCCTCTACCATGAGCCAGCAAGTTTAGTAGTCATGGCTCTCTTCCTTTCCAATAAGCATTGCTTATAACGCTTAGAGACATACAAAAACCACAGATTAGCAAAAATAAATCATACGTGTCCTTGTTGTCAGTCATAACAACTTCCTTTAAATCACTGGATTTGCAGCCACTGGTTTTTGCGATAAATTTGGTTTTAATATCTCTCTTGTCCATGTGGGCACCATGAGGGGCTTTGTAAAAAACTAGCTACCTGCTTATTTAAATGAGGAATGGCCTTGCTCTTTTATCATATTAAAAGGTATCAACTGTAATCCATCTTTGAAGAATTTAAATCCACACTTCTTGTTATACCTGCTGTAATGCTTCTTTCATAATCATGTGAGTTTTAATGTATGATGGATCATACTAGATGAACAGATTTTGTATGTCACCAACAGATGTTACTGTGACATTTTATCTACGTTATTTGACCCTTAAGACATAACAACATTCTTGTTCTCTGGCAAGTTTGGGTACCAGCTGAATTCTATTATTGATTTACATGACCTGCTACTGTAGCTGCATTGAAAATGCAGGTTTCCTCCTTGTAACAGTACTGTTCAAAAGAGACATGTCAGCTCTCCAACTGGAAGTGTTTATAATCAGTGCTGTTCATAAAAATGTTCCGCTTTATCACACTAGTACTACTTTTATTTATATTGCATCATTGCCACAGTCACAGATCAGGGGTCCACTTGGCATGCAACTAATAGACAACTAATAATGTCAAGTTCCTGTCTTACTGTCCTAGAGCTCAGATGGTAAAATATCTGATGTAATTATAGCAGCAAGTTTTTCTTTTTCTTCCTGTTTCTCTCCCTGTTAATTCCCACTGCTCTCTAGCAACTGAATAATGATCTCCTTCCAAAGTCCTTCTCAACCATTTAAATACCCATTTCTCCTCTGCTGTCTGGTGAGCATTATGAAGAAAGATCACACTAGGTAAATGCTAGGCATTTTTCTCCTTTCTGTTCTTACCAAGAGAGGAGAATGTTAGTTATGGGACCTGGGAGGGGAGCTGGTATGGTTTTACCCTCTCCCCATTAGCAGATTTTTAGGTTCATGAGCAAAGCAGGTTTACAGATTGTGCTGTAGGTCCAGTCAACCGTTCTTGCCCCACAACACATAAATGAGTTCTCCCACATTCAGCACTGAGATAAGAATATGGGAGACAGCTCAGCTCCTGTTGGTCTCGGGGAGTCGGATACAGGATGGTGACCTCCAGAAAGACAGGCAGAGCTTGGCTGTCAGCTTTGCTTTTGGCAGCAGACAACTGCAAGTCAGTCACAGTGTCTGTAGGGCTGATCAGCCAGACATTGGCTTAGCCACCCACAGCATGCACTGTTTGCACTGCTAGAAATGGGAAAGCAGGAAACCGGGTAGATCCCCATTAATGTTGCTCAGGAGACACCATGATCTGAGGCCTCACTACTCCTGTGCTCATGGAGGAGTTTCTCTCATGGTGATGTGGTTTATGTTCACACATGATACCTGCCTGCTCTCACCTCATCCCTTCTCTTTTTTCATCACTTACATAACACACTTTGGTCCTTCTCCCTCTTTCAGTCTCTTATTTGCTGCTTAAAAGTACCATGCTCTTTTACACTTTTGCCAAAAAAGAGAATGAAGCCTATTGCATTTTGGTACTTCTAGTCTGGTTATCTCCTGAGGACAGAAGAAAAGGAGGGATGAAGGTTCTGCAGGAGCAGAACTTTGTGGAAACCCAATGACCTACATTGTCCCACTGCATTTTTATTGCTCGAAAACAATATAGGAAGATTAATGTTGTCATCTCCACTTTAGAAGCTTTGACATACATGTATATTTCAGAGTATTTTATAAAGACTAATGTAGTCATCTGCCTTAAATACAGCAGACCTTTAACAACTAACAATTTTATATTTCTCCAACAAGATGTAATACACAGTGAAATATGTATTTGCATGAATAGCCTTGATCCACTAGGGGAAAGAAAAGGGATTTAGTCAGAAGAAAGACTTGCACAATTCTGATACTTATATGCAGATTCAACCTAAGAGGCAAATAATTTAAAAGCATACAGTCAATACCACATTGTTATTATATGGCTTATAAGCAGCAGGTTTTTTTAATAATCCACAAACTCCTCTGGTCTCCCTAATACTCGGGCTTTTCCTCCCTCATTTCTGCAGATAATGCTAACATTCAGACGATTTTGCCTGATTGCTGATTCACAGTTATTCACCCTCCTATTTTGTGAATTCCCCTCCCCACCTGCTTTCGTTATTCCACTGCATTATTCCAGATACCTGAAACTTGGCTCATGCCTAAACTGGATTTCTCCATGTGCCCTGGGGTGGGGAGGAGGGCTCCAAACCCCTCACACTGGTCTAACATCAGAGGTATCCTCTGCCCGGTCAATCCATGAATCAAAAAAGCTTCTTCCCCACCTATCCACATACTGAACAGACATCCAAAGACACCCTCACTTGTAAATGTACATTAGGAGAGAGGCAATTACAATGTGCAATGGTAAGAAAATTGCTCATGTTCCTAACACGCTTCATAATAAGGCATACTTTATAACACAGTAGTATAAGATGATATGATCTATTCTGCCTTACAGGTGGATTTTATGAACTCCAAAATTATGTCTAAGAATCATCCTTACCTATTTTGCACCTGATATCCTACAGGCTACCTTACCTGTGCAACAAGGTGGCCAATTCTGTAAGCATGGCTGCTTGATAGGCACGGGACAGGAGGGAAATTCAGGGTGATATATGCACTTCATTGTCCTATGGTCCTTTCCAAAACTCTGTCTAGAATCATTGGTCCCTAGCCGTTTCGAAAGCTCTACAGATTCCACTCAAAATGAGTTTCACTCCGAACGACAACATATCTCAGTATTAATTTTTTCTTTTAGAATTAATCAGGTGCAAAACCTGCTATTGATAAGTAGTTACTTTGAAAAGATTTTTATACCAGCCTCCTCTTTTTTTCTGAGTATCTAAATTAGTCTTTAAGGTGGCTCATGAAAGCCACATTCTTGTAATCAGCAAGCCAATTGCTAAAGCTCATTTTCCTTCAACTACCAAATACGGTTTTGGTAACTTTGCTCTCCAAAATCCACCCCCAATGCTTCTAGATTAGCTTTCAAATAATTTTCAGAACTCGTATGCTGAAAACATCCCAGACTGCAGTTGGCCAATTATCACAGTAAATGGTGTGAATTTCAAGGCAGGTGGTGTTATTTTACTGCCAATTTTTTACAATTTTTTAAACTCTACCTATGAGAGGCACAGCTTCACTGACAGTGCTGAGGTTTCCAGGTACTGTGGCAGGATTTCCAATAGATCCCTATAACAAGTGTGACATTATGCAATAGCATTGCAGATGTGGACTCTTTGCCAGCAATAGCTCTGGAAATACATCTACAATTTTATCAGGTAGAAATGAGCCAGTTTAAAGTTAGCACCCAAAGGCATTTCTTCCCAGCCCAGACATGGTGCTGCAGCAGTTACTACCCAATAGCAAGACGCAAACTGCTCACCACTGCATCCCTGCTGGGTGCCCTGACCACGGCTGGCAGGCAAGCACTCTCCTTTGCTGTCCCTGAAAAAGCTGTTCTCTGCCTCACCAAAACTCTGCTGCCTCAGTAAAGCTAAAGAACTCTCCCTAAAGCCTTGTTGTTTTGGTGCTTTCTGTTGTTTTGTTTTTTTTTTTTTTTTTTTTTTTAAACACTGAAGTGTATCTCTAAGGCTCCAACATTTCCAGAATTCTTCATTCAACAACAAACTGAGACAACATGGGAGTCTCTTCATTAGTGTGCCATTTCTGTTTCAGACTGCTCATCTGAACAAAAAAGGCCAGTTTTGCATTTCATAGAAGAAAGAGGATAGAGTGAGTTGCATTAAATTCATGCTAAAAGATTATTAAATTTAAGTTTCAGGGGCTGATTCACACTTTGCAAGTAATTTTGCAAACAACAAGTTAGTGACTGAAAATATTAAGGGTTATATTAAAATGAAGTTTTTAGGAACAATTTTTAAAGCACAGTTATGTTCTGCAAACATTTTGGTATTATAATCAGACTCTTTCCTTCTTTGTATACTCCTATTTGTAACGTGTCCCTGTAAAAAGCAAAAACAAATTTTCAACATTCTCTAAGCCATAACATGATGATATATTGGAACTTACAGCTGACCACAATAATGTTACTGCAGCAGCACATACAGCAGCTGTGATCACATAAGGAAATTCTTTTATACATAGAACCTAAACTAAGAACAAAATATTCTGGTCTGTGTCTGTGAAACTGAAACAAGCTATATGGCAGCACTGGAAATTTTCAGTTAAATAGGTGTATGAGGTTTTTATTAGATCTACAAAGGCTATTGAGTTACAGAAGCACAGGGTTAAACACAGTGACAGAATCAGTGTTCTTCTTAGCCAAACTGCAAAGACTGTAGATAAGGGAGAGTGATGACGACTGAAACCACCTTTCAGTCCCAGATGATCCCTGTATATAGTGGCTGATGCACAGTAGCAGGATGATTTGGTTAGGTTTGTATCACCATGTTTAATGCTATATAGGTTAGTTTTTTGGAGAATTTAATTTATAAAAAATTCAAAGCAACAGTTATATTTACACACACACAGACAAACAAAACATATGAGGGAAAAATAATTGCCAAGAGAATCTCTACTATTGGAATATTCTGCTTTTACTGTGATAGCAGAATTACTTTCCAGTCTGCATCCCTACAATAAATGCCCTATGGTGCAAGAAAGTAATACTTCGTACCTTTTTCTGCCTTGCTCGTGTTATGTTTTTCAAGTAGGAGGTAACGAGGACTCTCAGGAAGAAAAGGCAGAATCACAACTTGTATCAATGAAGGAACAATGATTGCTCCAAATAAGTATGGCCACCGAGATTCCTGCAAATGGATGCAAACATAAGTCAGTAATACTCTTCCATAGTGATATTAGAAAGCAAAATAGCTTTGATGGGAAATGCTGTAACTTTCCATCATTCAACATATTGTGTCAGTGAGCAGAGTGATGTCTTCTGCCTTAGTATGCAGTTTGAACACCTCCCCCCTCAGTTCACCTTATTCAAGGACCAAGGAAGACAGAATTCAAGCCATCAACTAACTGAGAATGAAGAGAGACACAGAGAAGCTGGAAAACAGGGATACATATATATATATATTTCCTTTCCTTCAGCATCAACAACTATACACGCAAAAATATGATATATACTCAAATATATATTCTACAGGTTATCCCCACTCACATTAGTATAATTCATTAGCTTTAAGAAACAGTACAACACTATATTCATATAGTAACATATACCTGCATGTTGTCTCTTAGTCTAATCTAATTGTCCTAAAGTGTGTGTGTATATATATATCTATATATATAATTTTGGCTCCTCTAACTGTTATAGTATGGGTAAAATCCTGACAACACTTCAGCTAAGCTGCAGTTTAGCACAGTTCTGTGGTTCTCGGTGTAATGCAGACAGTGACTGGCATTTCACAGCTGCTGGGAATGAACCAAGTTGGGCTGAGGTCTTACCACAAGTCTTCTACTTGGCAAAACACATTTGCCTTACAGGTACAACTAACACATAGTTGGGTGGTTTTCATTTCCATTCAGAAAAGAAATACACAGTTCAACACAATTAGAGTGAAAGACAGCTAATTTAACAAGAAAAAAAGATATCTGGCTAACTGATGCAAGGTCTTTATGAATGTTTTCTCTTGCAGCCAAGAATTCCACCTCTTAAGTTGGCTTCAATGCTAATTTAGGTATAGGAAATGGGCTTCACCTATCCTCCTCTCCAAAGTCCATGGGACCTTAAAGAAGTGCCTTGGTTTTATGGTAGTGTAACTAAGAGTAACACATTATACCATTTCCCACTCCGAATTAGCTAACATAGATCAGATGTTCAAATGAAATACTGACAGCCCTGTTCCCAAGTCCATGAAACAGAAAGTGTTTTTTCTACTGACTTGTAAATGATCTGCTGAAGTATGCAGCAAGGACCCAAAACATGAGAGCCATTTGTAGCATCCCCACCAATGCAAAGCACCGATGACCCCTCTCTGGCAAGCCCCTCATGCAGAAACCAGGCAATTTGAAACTGCCAGAGACCCAACACAGTGTAGGTGAAGAGCACAAGGTGCTGCACTATCCAACACTATTTATATGAATCTTCTCAACTGCTAGCAGATTTCAGACACAACTTGACTCTGATAATTTTCTTTGAAAAACTGATAAACTTGTTAACATCCTCAAATGCATTAATACCAGCTACAGAGGGTGACCTGAGGAAAGCTCTTTCAGGAAAAGGCTGAGAAAGGCAGTAGAGGGCTCATCTAGATCTCTGGGCTTACTCTCAAGAGAGGAGACTTTCAAGTAGCTGAAGGAGAAAGGTGCCAGCAGTATTATTTTCCCCTGCATAATGGGGATCTTGATCTGTCCATGCTCTTAAGATACCTTCTGTTCCAACTGAATGCCAAGATGAAATTTTTTAGTAAATTTCTCCAAGTTCAGCATTCATCTATTTAATTCAATGCTTTCTGATCTGAGACTTGGTTCTTAATTGAAAAGCCTGCTGAGACTTCAGTGGGCCTACTGTTGAGGCATCATGTCTAGCACATTTTCAAAAGCTTGGCTAGATCAAAGGCAGATTGCACTGCATCCTGGCTGATTGAGCTCTGAGCGGCACCGGGGATTTGGATCCTGTCCCTCCATCAGAATGCATCTATCCACTGAAAGTCCATACTTCCCTAAACAAAGCTGGATAAATTTTATTTCAATTTTTTCACAGTAAAATCAAAGGTCAAAAGCCCCCAAACAATTTTCTGTTGATAGTTTTTATTTTACATTCTCCCACTTCAACCATGCCTAAAACGTCATGTACCGCATGGTGTGGGATGTCATCCAAGCCCCAAACCTGAACTGAGGCCTGAGATAACCAAGTAACTCTCAAGCAGAATATGTGGGGGTATCTCATAACCAAACTTTTCACTTTCCCTTTAAATGATAGAGGTTTTTTTTCATGGGATGGGAAAACAACTTGAGAAAGGGATTTATTCAAACAATTTAAACTCCAGGTTATCAGTGTTCCTAAGAGCCTCCATTACCATGAAGACTTCAAGATACTACTTCTTCAGCCCTGTTTTTTTTTAATGCAGTTGAATGGGTAACTTTACCTAATATAGAAGAATCAAGAGTGATTAACAATCTGTTTATAAACAAATGAGCCTGAATCTTATTTTGAAAACTAGAAAATTAAATTAAGACTTTAAGAACAGTTAATAATCACATAAAAAAAGCAAGTACCTGTTTGTAAAGAATAAGTTAAGAAAAGAGGCAATATAACTCTCCAGTTTTGTTCTATGTCTGCCTGGAACCATTTCCTATAATATAAGCACACTTGCTATGCATCACATAAAAATGTTTATGGGGCATTAGAACTTTTTACAACACTTCTAGATAAAAATCTTACTCTTGATCAGCACATCATATTTTTTGTAGGTTTTATCCACAATGTCAAGGACACTTAAAAGAAAAAAAAAGTATCCTCTGTATAGCGTTAACATTCTGCCAACTTATGGAGACCTACTTGGAATAAGCTTACACTGCTTTTAAAGTCTCCCATAGTGTATGGTTTTTCAGTTGGTCACATTTCTCTGTAACAATTCTTCTGAAGTGTTATTTTGAAAAAGCTATGAATGAGACTGAACCTCTGAACTCACCCTTCACAATAAATACCAGACCCTAACAGTATAATAAAAAGCCCTCTATTTTCACGACATAAGACACAAAGCTTCCTTTATTTCCTCTATGAAAGATTTCTGGTTTGCTTTTTATTATGTTAACTTTTAAAACCTTAAGGTAAACAGTCATAAATATGCTCCCACTTGCCATTCCTGGCACGAGTTGATCAGTGAGTCACTGAAGTCAGTGGAAACTCCAGCCATTTCAAGAGTTTTCAGTTGATGCTTATTCAACGCTATAGAACATGTGTGCTACTTTACATTATTTACATTATCCACATTCAAATTCTTCATCCCACTACTAGAAAAGAAATAGGAGGACTAAAATGAGTTTAAAAGATCCATAAAAAATTGCTGAGTATCAAGCTGAACTAGACCCTATAAAAAGAATTTTTAAAAGCAGGGAAAAGGAAGGTTCCCTAACCAGTTTAAGAAGGGATAGGACAGGATACAAACTGGGACAACGCTCAGAAGCAATAATAAAGTAAAGGCAAAAGATAGCGTAGGTGTGACTTAGAAGACACATAACACTTTGCCCTAGCTGTCATCAGTAGGAGAAGCACACAGGCACTGCTGAGAAAAATGAAAACAACCACATCCCATTTTATCTCAGGAAAAACTTAAAAGAGCATTAAATATTTTAATTACAGGGGACCTGAATCATCACCTGCTCAGAATTGGTACAAATAACATGTCAAGAAGGTAAAATTTTAATTTCGAACTGTCACATTATGGATATTTGCTTAGGCTGGAGCATGAAAAACCCCGCTTTGGTCTATTTACAGAAGACAGTTAAATAGTAGAGCAAGTTTGACAACCACAGACTCATTCAAAGGTTGAGATAATAAAGTGCAAAGCTGCAGAAATACAAGGGGGGGAGGCAATGGATAAACCATGACATGGATTTATCAACTGCAAATGAGACAAGATTAAACTATACAAGAATACAGTAAAGCAAATGTTACCATGTCAGAAAATCATCAGCTAAAATGCAGAAAATGAAACTTACTGTAACAGTTAGAAGGTGGAAAAGAAACTGGCATGGGTAAACGTCAACAGGCACTGCTGATGGCTGAACTATTGGTCCATATGAAGTTCAGTGACCTATTTAAGCACTGGTTACATTTAATATTTTCATTAATTATGAAGATTTTGATAAAATTTGAAGACAATTTCAACACAGGAAAGGCTAAGAATATACATATAGATATAAAAATCTTAAAAGTGAGAACTGAATTGTTGACAGGGTCCTGCAACAGAGATGGGAAGAAGTGCTGCCCTGTATGTAGGCACTCATTTTTTGAAAGAACTAGTGAGATCAATTAAGTGTCCCAGTACAAGGTGTATGACAGGATCAAAAAGACTGAGTAAGGAAATACATGACTGCCACAGGCTCTACTCTTTCTCTCCCTCTAAATAATTGTATTTATTTATTTAAAAGGCATAACCTGGACATGCATCCCACTTCCCATTCCCAACTGAGTATCAACCACTATAGCACAGTCAGGCTTCTTGTTTGCTCTCTGCTCGGTTTTCTGTGCTGTGGTGATCCTCATGTCCAGCTGAGCATCCCTGACCCCAACTGTCCCAGGGCACATTTCCCATATCCCTGTCTCCTGCCCATTCTAGAGCCACAAGGAAATTACTGCAGCCTAAATGCAAGTCTCAAACATCTCCTCCTAGGCAGCAAACAGGGTAGCACAAGGCACTGCCCAGAGGACTCCAGCCCTGCTTTGCATTCTGATATAACAGCCATGCCACCTCACAGAGCTATCAAGGGCTTGTTTAGCTTTACCACTTGAAATGTGCAGGAGATTGTATCAAAATAAATACTCACTCTCCCTTTGTCTCATTCAGTGCACAGGATGAACTGTAATCACTCAGTGAGCAGGTCTATTTACTAGTCACTATTAAATAGTCACTATTTAAATATTAATTCTGGAACTAATTCTTGGGGGGGATTGGGTTATGATGGGTTTACTACAGCACTGAACACTTTACAAACAATGATTTTTTTGTATAATACCTTTCTCATGTAAAATTACTTTTTTTTACCCATTTTATATGTTGGACAGTAAAGAACCAAAAGCCTCTTGCATCCAATGCAAGATACTCAAAATGTCCAGGAACTAGTGATTTAGCAG